TGGGGCGGAGCTACATATAAAGTATGTGATGGAGGCTACATAGAGAGTGTATGATGGGGCGGAGCTACATATAAAGTATGTGATGGAGGCTACATAGAGAGTGTATGATGGGGCGGAGCTACATATAAAGTATGTGATGGAGGCTACATAGAGAGTGTATGATGGGGCGGAGCTACATATACAGTATGTGATGGAGGCTACATTTAGAGTGTATGATATGGAGGAGCTACATATACAGTATGTGATGGAGGCTACATTTAGAGTGTATGATGGGGCAGAGCTACATATAAAGTGTATGATGGGGCGGAGCTACATATAAAGTGTTTGATGGGGCGGAGCTACATATAAAGTGTTTGATGGGGCGGAGCTACATATAAAGTGTTTGATGGGGCGGAGCTACATATAAAGTGTATGATGGGGCGGAGCTACATATAAAGAGTATGATAGGGCAGAGCTACATTTAAAGTGTATGATGGGGCGGAGCTACTCACAGAGTGTATGACGGGGGCAGGGCATGTATTCTGAACATGCTCGCTGCAGGACTCTGAATACACACATCTGGCCTGGGCAGTCCCGCACCACACACAGCTGTACTTTTGATCTGCAGTGTGGCAGCGACTGCAGTCGGATCGACCCACAGAACAGTTGTACAGGGTCACTGACAGAACAGAGAGAAGAATCACTGATGTCCACAATGAAACATACTGTCAGGATGAGTACGGCTCTAAACTRACCATGAAGATTTGGAGAACTGTCCACATGAAATGTGTTCCTCCTCTTCACATAAACCATGGCGTTGTACTCCTCCACGGGAGCTGAGTAGGAGTACTGAAAAAGAACCAACCCTTTTCAAAGGATGGAGTCAGCAAATGACCCCGATCTACATTTTAATCCTGCCTCCAAAAATAAGAGTTTATCTTTAAGAATAAATCAGAACTTTGTCAAGCAAACATGCACACATTGAAACACAGATATATCTGCTGCTCACTGAGGAGTAAATACATTTAAACTAACATTTATAATATCTGATTAGCTGGAAAAGGCAGATATTTTGGTAACATTAATGCCCCATTAGCTGCAGGACCCACAAAKTCTTGGTTTGCTTTGATATAGACAGCTTTAGAATTCTCTTCCTTCTATGTCGGGGACATGGACCAACACACGGCTATGATTTATGACCGGCTCTGATCCCTCCTGGTCCAACCTGGTGCAGCTGACAGGTGATGTAAAAAGTTGATGGATTCATGTCGTCAGCTTCCACATAGGCGTCCACCAGAACTATCTGACCTTCAATAATCAGAACACACTCGTACTCCAGCTTCGGATCCTGAACACAGAACCAGGTTTGACACACAGACATTAGGCGAACTGAACAGAACCCAGAAGACCTGACAGGACCAACAGAACCTCTCTGCWTCTTGCACCTGGTACAGATGGAGGTTGCGAGCCTGCAACGTGATCTTCCTATTGACCCGTACCGGAAGCAGGTCAGAACCCTGGACCTTCTCCACACAGGGACAGGCTGAAGAACCCCAGCTGATATAAGAGCCTTCATCACCCTGGTGTTCAGAAACAGAACATTAACACCAGGTTCTGGTTCCATCTGTTCACACATGAAAACCTCTTGTGAAAAAAGAGACAGAAACTTTCAGTTTTTATACGAGTTAAAGGAATCAGCCATAACATTATGACCAGTAACAGTGAGGGAACATTCTGGGTTTGGCAGTGAAGGGTGGTCCTCGTCAGACCCAAAAGAACAGCTGCTCAAACTGATGAGAAGAAACCTGCTGGGTGTGATGAAAACAACCTGGTCAGAAGCATCAGAGCGACTCTAAAGTCTCCAGATCTCAGATCAACCTGGACAAACAAGTCTGACCCACCTGTGGACGGGTCTGAGACAGAAACCACAGCAGYCATTTGGAGGTCGTTGGGAGACTTTCAGTTTAGCTGATCTTTGTGAGAGTCATGTTCTTTGACTTCTCCAGTGCTTTCAACACTATCCAGCCTGCTCTGCTGAGAGGAAGCTGGAGGGAGCTGGAGTGGACAGGCAGCTGACAGCATGGACCATCGACTACCTCACCAACAGACCACAGTATGTGAGGCTCCG